GCAGAATTACCTGTTACAAAACTGCAGCAATGTAGTTATTAAAACAAACAACTTTTTGAGGTTAAATAGAGCTCTTGGTGTGGTAGAGACAATGTTGTATGTACTCCTCTATCACAGTGAGAAATTTATAAAGTCCAGGCGAACCAAATATCTGAGACTGGGCCTTCACCCCAGATGTTTGCAAGTAAACAGGTTCTGGACCTGAGAAATCCAGTCCTCTCACTTTCTGACTGCCTCTTAAGTTGGTCTGTAGATCAGTGTTCCACTAGTATTTAGTTTTCATTCTGGTTTTAAAACTGTTTATCTGTAAAACCATAATATAAACTTCTGATCATCAAAACTAACACAGTCATGAGCCCATTGGAAAGCAATTGTGAGATACTATTAGACTTTGATAACTTTCAAGAAGCTTTATTCTATTTTTGTCCATTCAAAGCTAACATTTTTAGCAGTTTTGAAACTGAATGGGATTTTTGTTTTTTCATAAATACGTTTGTCTGATATATTATGTCTTATTACCGCAAAGGAACTTAAAATACCAAATAGAATAAAACCATATTTGACATTAAAGTCATGGAAAACATTCAACAGTTGATAACTTCAGAGAGACTTTGACTAAGCGTCAAGGTTTTTATAAACATGTATGTACTACTGGAAAATGTGTACAAGTTTCTTCGCTCACAGATTTTCACCCTGGTAGATGTGGACGAACATGTTTGCCAGAATGTCCAAGTCCTCTTTATTTACTGTAAGGGGAGGTGTGGGTAGGAGATTACACACTATCATTTAGGGCCTAGAGGTAAAGGGATTTTGGAACAACTTTTAGTTTAACCTGCATATGAGAAAGGAAGGTTTCATATTGTGGTTAATAGGAATATTCATATGATAGGAAAATGGATGAACAAGATTTAACTTTATATTCTCAGCAACTTCCCAACTAACCATTGTCTTTGATGAGGAAAAATTTGAAAATTATACAGTTGTGCTTATTTTCAGTCTTCCCTTGAACAATTACAAGACAGTGTAAAAGTGCTTACACTTCGATTGCTGTTCCTAATAACTAGGGTAGAATTTCACAGTTGATCTGGAATTTCATATCCTGACTTTGATATGTGGGAGCAAGAGTCAACAAACCACCTTTCTGTGCTTAGAGATGATTTTATATATAAAATAATATCTTTTTGAAACTGAACATTGATAGGAGCTATGTCATATTTTCTGTATTATATTTCATGTTAGCTTTATTAGTTAGCTCTAATTAGCTCACCAAATAACTCAGATTAAATATATATATATGTCTTAACTATAATCAGCCTAAGGACTCTATTCAGTGATCAAGTCTTAGTCAAATCACAGTCTTATCTCTGAATGTGTTGCTTTGATCCCCTTCCCATGTCTCCCTCCAGCATTCATCCCAAATCCTTGGATGTTTCTGCTTAGTTCAAAAAGCCATGTTCTCTCACTATGTAAATTACACCAAGAATACCACTAATCATATTCAAGAAGCTAACAATCTATGCTTGAGTTGTGTCTTTGGGATACGATGCCAAATTGGATCTCCATTTTGCTTTTAATTAGTCAGCAACACTTATTTAATGCCCACTAAGCTCAGAGCAAGGCTTAGAGGGTAGAGAACGGGAGAAAGGAGATCGGAAAACAAATATACTATCATTTTCAGAATAGCTTACAGTATCTTTATGCATATAGAAAACAGATAAATGAAAGGATTAAAACTTAAAAGCAATATCCAAATGAGTGCAAATTGATCTGATACAAACTGAGCTATATAAATGCAAAGAGGATGCAAATTATAAAAACTTGAAGTGTTTAAAATTGCTGTCTTTCTACTTTTATTTTCATAATACTTTGCCATGAGAATTCTTAGAGTTCAGAACACCATACCCTCCAGTGAGGAAAATTTATTGGTTCAATTGTATCCTTTAGAGAAGCAAACCTAATTCTTAGTATTGTATGGGCTTCTGAGAGATGATGCTGTAAAGCTTTATGAGTCCCCATTAAACGTTTCTCATCATTAAAGCTTTTCTGTAACCTTGAACAAGTTCCTTAACCTTTCTGTGCCTCAACTTCCACATCATGAAAATGGGGATGGTAATAGGACCTATCTCATAGGATCATTAGGACGACTGTTAAATGTATTACACTCTATTACTTGTATTCTATAAAGTGTCTATCTCACAGTTTAATTTCTTGAAGAATGACACACATCCTATGATTGATCTGGTAAGAAACCATTGTGGCACATATTAAGTGACACCAGTTGGTTCTTTCTTAGTAGAAAAAAAAAAAGATGTAGTTTGTAGTCAAAGGCGTATGTAAAGTATGCCTAAATGCTTAAAGCAAAGCCTGTCGTACAATGGGTCTTATCGAATGATGCTGTTATCATCACTGCCTGAATAATACCATATTTGTGGTATGTAAATCATCTGTCCCTAATTTCAGTGGCTTCTGTACTGGGAAGCAGGTATACTTATGATTCCCGATCTTTGAGTAAATAGAGCCTAGAAGATTTATCAGAGATTACACAACTGCCAACTCAAAGACCTAGGTCATGAACTGAGGTTGTATTATTTATTCTTCATTTTTGCACTCACTGCATCCTACTGTATTGTATGAACTATGGGTACTAACCATGAAGAAATAACTCAGGCTAATGAAGTTCTTTCTCTGAATGACCTTCATACGAGCAGGGGTTAATGAGATGTAAAGACCTCAACAGTAACCCAACAAACAAGTTAATATAGTAAAACAGGACAAAAAGTGTGGATGGAAGTGTCTGGCGTGATGTCTATTAGGAAGGTCATACAAGACTTCAGAGGAGTTGACATCTGAAGTGATGCAAGTTGACAACTTGTTTTTACAGAACAGTGCATTTGCCCTGAAGCAGAAATGAGCTTGGGTCTTTTAAGGAACTGGAGTTGAGCAAGGATGAGCCAGAGGAATAGATTCCTACAACCATAAGAGGTAGATAAATAGATATGATGTTAGCCTTCAGTTAGAAGATGCTGAGTTTTGTCTTGGGAGCAGAAGATTTTGGTATTCGTTTTTTGGTTTTTTTTTTTCTCTTTTTTTTTTTTTTTTTTGACGGAGTTTCACTCTTGTTACCCTGGGCCTTGCGGGC